AGGTATTTATCCATTCATCATTCCTTTCTGGCTTATCGTTTCGGTTAATGTAGTTGAAATCTCTGCTTTAACAACTGGCTTTTTTCCACAAAAGAAGTGTGTGCTTTAGTGTCAGATTTGTAGCTATCTGAACAATAAGTTACCCTTTCTTGAGCAGAACACACAGCAAGGATTTATCCCTTCGCCTCAGATGGAAACAAGTTTTGTTTCTAATGATCTTCAGATTCTCCTTTCTGATTCCTTTCAGTCCCCCTGACCATGTCATTCAGCGATAATTGTTTGTGTACTCAAAGGAGGGTTTTCTCATGAAAAGAGGGTAGTAGAGAGTAACTGTAAAACACTGGCTTTCCTTGAAACACACACTGGTTCTGTGAGTGATCAAATATGGCTTCCAGCCACCATGGATAATTACTACAAGACACGGTTGGGCTGTGGCTTCACAGAGGATTTTACTTTCTTTTTTTTTTTTTAACTAGCATTAACACAGTTTATAGTCTGAATTAAAGAGGAGCATCACTCTGACAGAATATGAAACTATATGTAGTGACTTGCAAAAGTATTGACACCCCTTAAACCTTTTCACATTACAACCAAAAAAATATCTTATTGTAATTTTGTGTCAAAGGCCAAAAGAAAGTGAAACAATACAATAAAACTCTGAAGTAGAACATTTCTTTCTTTTTTTAACTTAATTCTCAATCTGAAAAGGTCTTTGTGCAAAAGCATTGACCCCACTCAGTCAGTATTTTGTGAACCAACTTTTGCTGCCAATCCAGCAGCAAGACTGTTCGGTCAATTGGCTTCTCTAAAGTGCCATGGTTGTGTGTCTGTGTGTATAATGTAGAATGCCCTACTTTATACAAAAGTGTCTCATAAAAGCTGTGAAAATAGCAGCTTTAGTTCAACACATCATATTGATTAATATAGCAGACAGACAATCTAACAAAATGTACAATAAAGGAATGACAATTAATTATGCATTACAATAAGATCAATAAAATCTTCATTGCTCCAAAAAAAGCAAAGAACAAAAACACTCTTCCTTCTACACTAGTCAAAAATAATTAAAGGAACATTTTGTAATCAGAGTATAGCATCAAGTTAATTAAACTTGTGGGATATTGATTTGGTCAGGTAAGTAGCAGAAGGGGTTGTTAATCAGTTTCAGCTGCTTTGGTGTTAATAAAATTAACAACAGGTGCACTAGATGGGCAACGAGACGACCATCAAAACAGGAATGGTTTTACAGGTGGAGGCCACTGACATTTTTTCCCCTCGTCATCTTTTCTGACCTTTTTTTCAGCGGTTTTGCATTTGGCTAGGGTCACTATCACTACTGTTAGCATGAGGCGCTACCTGGACCCTACAGAGGTTGCACAGGCAGTCCAACTCCTCCAGGATGGCACATCAATACGTGTCATTGCCAGCAGGTTTGCTGTGTCACAATGTCAAGAGCACAGAGGAGATTCCAGGAGACAGACAGTTACTCCAGGAGAGCTGGACAGGGCCGTAGAAGGTCTACAACCCATCAGCAGGACCGCTATCTGCTGATGAATCCCGTTCAACGGTTGCCTCTTTGCAGTTTTCCGCTACTGTTTGCAGCGGCTGGAAGGCGTTTTTCAACGTACGTAATCCAAACTGAAGGCACCAGAATAATAAAATCGAACAGATTTTGCCAGCAGGTTTTGACCTTTTAAGTAAATTTAGGCGTTAATAAACAGTTTCAGAGGAGTGATCAGACATGTTCACAAGTCATTTTTTGCAAGTCCAAGTCAAGTCTCAAGTCTTGAGAGCTGAAGTCCAAGTCAAGTCTCAAGTCTTGAGAG